AGCCTTGGAACCTTCTAGATTTCATTCCAATTCTTGGCAACAGCAGCTCGATTTGCCTCACTTACATTCGAAGATCTGGCTGTGCAGGCTTAGCAATGCCATAAAGACAGCGTGGTCACCAATGGTCGGATAGCTCTTAAAGACGGCAACCACGCCAATCATCAGTGTGATGCCGAACAATGGATCTTGTCTGTATTTGAGTCATTAAAGTGAAGCGTATGTGTGGTCCGGTGTCAGAGCATGTCGAACATCAGTGAAGAGTGCAAACGAAGGAAGGGTGCTACTTGCCGGTACTTGATCGCGAATGGCAAAACGTAGCATGCAAGATGCACATTTAAGGTGAGCAGGAAAAAGTCACGGAAGTGGTCGAAGATCTCCATGAAGAAGTACCACCAGAGACCAAGGTTTGGTGTGAGGTCGGTGACAAAGATTCTGTCGCCGTCAAGGCAGAGTGGGGATTGACAGGGTCAGCCTGTGTTCAGCTTATGCTCGAGATGCTTGGACAAGAGTGGACGCCAGGAGTGAGGCACTTACACTGAACCGTAGACCTGTTCAGCCCATGCCCAGCCACTTTCGAGGGGGATATCGATGACATTGGGCAGGTTGAGCAAAATTGCGCCCACAGAAGCGTTTCCCGGGCTGAGGGCGATCGCCCTGGAAAACCATAGACCTCCTGCGAGCGCTGCCGGCATGAGGACAAGGCACTTGAAGACCATCCGACGCTGCGACACACGAAGAAGGATGACAGGGATTGTTAGCCGATCCTGACTTTATCGAGAGCGTCGCAGGAGTCTGTATTTCCATGCACACTGAGCTGCTTACCTTTGCGGATCGTACACGGTCCACGAGGAAGCCGAGTTGACGCGCAGATTTAGTGTCAGTGTTCTGGCCTAGACGAGCCACCTCTCGTTCGTAGACAAGCTCGCCAGCTCTACGGCGGCATAGCTGGATCAGCATGGGGAACAATAGGACTGGGTAGAGCGAGAGAAGGGACGAAGTGGCCCAGGAAATGGCAAGCTTGATTGCCGAGCCTGACATGGCGGCGTCCACGGCTGCAAGTAGGGCGACTACCTCTAATGAGATTGAGCTCCTGGCGACGCAAGTTGCAAGAGTGTATGGGTTGAAGAGGAAGAAGGCAGCCACCTTGAGTGCTCTGCTTTGATCCCATGCAAAGAGATGCGTCTGTCGGGCCCACAATGCTACTTGGCGGGCGTGGCAGATGCGGAAGAGGAGCCAGCCAGCGATCACATCAACGGCAGTCCAAACCAGAGCAATCCACTTTTGGTCTCCCGTAGAGTGCACGCGATTGAGTGCATTGTTGAGGATGGGTAGGAGGAGTGGCGAGTGGTGAATGGTGCCCGCCGAATACGGGTCGGGGATGTGTTGCCCAAATGTAGCCGAAACAGGTGTTGGCGGATGTCGGAAGAGGTAGTGGGTCTCCATAAGCGACTTGAAGCTGCTGAATGGTGTGCTGAGCTCCGGTCTATCTTGCAGCAGACTGAAAGCATCCGTATGAGAAAAGATGCCAAGGCGTAGCACGGCTGCACCTATCAGAGTGAGGTACAGTAGTGACTTGGACGGTTGAAGAGGTCGATGCGTCATGATCTTGGCCGCCCCCGGCACGTGAGCTGACAACACCACCATGTTGATCCTCAGCTACAGCAAGTCTCTGTTGCAATGCTGTTTTGTTATCTAGCCGAGACCAAGTGAGCAGATATCGATGGATGGATGGTGTCACTGCGGAATGATCTCGCGGATGTGTTATTCTCGTACAAACGTTGGTCCATGCTTTGCTTTCCGCAGACCGCGAATTTCCCGAAGAAAGCTCAAATTTCTGGCTCGCGTCTTTTGTGTGTGATGCTGGAAATCGGGCAAGCCAAGGGTGGAGGTTATTGCCCGATTTCCGCCAATTGGTCAGCCTTTGCTCAAAAAAAAAAAAAAAAAAAAAAAAAAAAAAAGGCGAAGAAAAAAAGTGCTCGGAAAGGGTTCAGGCGATATTGCCCGACCCTGCAGAAGCAGAACGAGGAAAAAATCTTGACGAAACTTCTTAGCTACGGATACATAAGGCTCAGCAGTCCAAGAGCCAGTGGCACCTGCCACAAGCTCAAATATCATTCATTCATTCATCATCATCATCATCATCATCCACCACCACCACCACCACCACCACTACCACCACATCATCACAGCGGCTCCTTGACATAGCCGTGCAAGCATCCGTACTTGCAATCCGCGGCGCCATGTTGTACACAAAGTTGGCCAATCCCCTCGGGCTTGCACGCCCCATGGCGGCCGCCCGGCAGCTCTCGACTTTGACTGCCAGGTCCACTATCCGTGCTCGACTCAGCCCTTCCGTCGCATCTTCAACCCTTCTTCAGTCTCTCGCATCGACTCAGCAGAGCCGGATCGCACGTCAAGATTGGAATTCAAGCCTCGCACAGGCGATTCGTGGTCTCTCTCAGTCATCCAAGTCGGCAGAGCCAGCTGCCGCCGCTGCAGAGGCTACTGAAGCATCAGAGCTCGAAGAAGACGTTTTTGTCAGTCGCAAGGAGGCACGTGCTGCCAAGTCATCGCACATCAGGGATGAGACTTTTGCTTCTTTGAAAAACTCGATCCACCCTTCCATTCTCAAGGCATTGACCGTCAAGCCTTTCGCCTACACCAACATGTCCGCCGTACAGCAAAGTGTTCTGCACCTTCTTCCCGACGTCGCCGGTGCTGTTGGAGAGTCGGCCACCCCAATGCCCGATGGACAGGGCAGAGACATGCTTGTCAAGGCCAAGACTGGTACCGGAAAGACGATTGCCTTCCTTGTTCCTGCACTCGAAGCACGCCTGCGTTCCATCGAAGACGTCCGCAACGGCAAGTTCTCCAAGCCCTGGTTGGAGATGCTTCAGCGACACCGACCTGATCTTGACGTATCGTCGCTCAAGAAGAAGGAGCTCGAGGAGATCGTCAAGCAATTCGTCAACAACACTGTTGGTGCCCTCATCCTTTCGCCTACCCGAGAACTCGCTACACAGATTGCCGATGAGGCCAAAAAGCTCCTGACTCACCAGCCTGAGCTCAAGGTCCAGCTCCTCGTTGGAGGCGCCAGCCGAAACTTCCAGATCAACGACTGGCGACGATCCAGGCCTGACGTCGTTGTTGCCACTCCTGGTCGTGTCCTTGACTTGCTTAACGACGTGGGCATGATCCGCGAAGCCATGACAGCATGTCGCACCTTGATCCTCGATGAGGCCGACACCCTTCTCGAAATGGGTTTCCGTGACGATCTGCAGGCCATCATGCGCCACCTCCCCGCCAAAGTTGACCGTCAGACTATGCTCTTCAGTGCCACCGTCAGCCCCGAAATCCGTGCCATCGCACGTGCCAGCTTGCAGAACGATCACCGCTTCATCGACTGTGTCCCTGCCGGCGAGGAGAACGTTCACAAGCACATCCCACAGTTTGCCACTGTGCTCGAATCGGCCGAGGAGCAGATCCCTCACATCTTGCGTCTCATTGCCCATGACCAGCTCATTAATCCTGGCAAATCCAAGACGATCGTCTTTGCACCCACTACAAAGATGACGGAGCTCCTTGCCGATGTCCTTCGCGACACACAGCGACATTTGCCTGCCTCCAGTGGCGCCAGTGTCTACGAGATTCACAGCAAAAAGGACCAGCGTGCCCGATTCAACACCAGCGATCGGTTCCGTAAGGACCAGACCGGTGCTAGTGTTCTTGTTACCAGTGACGTTAGTGCTCGAGGTGTCGATTACCCCGGTACCACTCGTGTCATCCAGGTTGGCATTCCCAGCAGCAAGGATCAGTACATTCACCGAATCGGCCGAACCGGTCGTGCGGGTGCCCAGGGTCGATCCGATATTGTTCTGCAGAACTTTGAGCGCGGCTTCCTTCACTTCCAGCTCGATGACCTTCCCGTCACTCAGCTTCACGTCGACGATCTGGCTGAGGAAATTCAGACCCTTGCGAAGCGTTTTGACGAGTCGCCCGAGGAGTTCAAACCACCTCGAGAGGTCATTGACGAGGTCAAGGCCAAAATCCAGGCAGCCAAGAAGAACGCCCGTGGACGTGACAGGGACACGAGCAACACCAAGCCCCCCGCCATAATTCGAGGCCCCCTTTCGGGCAAATACAGCACCAAGACACTCGCGCCTCTGATCGAGGAATCTCTCAAGTCGTTGGGCGAAGAGGAGGGCGTGCGCGAGACTTTCAACTCGCTGCTCGGCTTCTACCTCGGCAAGGGCGACGAGCTCCGTACCGGCAAAATGTCGGTACTTGAGGGTCTCAAGCAATGGTCTGTCGAGGCAGGTCGTTTGGATCGCCCTCCGTACATGAGCGACGCGTACATGCAGAAGCTCGGCATCTCGTCCAGGGACATCCGTGGCGGCGGCGGCGGGTCGTCTCGTCGCGGTGGCAGTTTCCGTGCTGGAGGCCGCGGTGGTGACGGCTCTCCTTCGCTTGGACGGGGGCGTTTCAGCAAGGATAGCAACGGTGGTCGTGACTTCCGCGACTCAAGAGACAGCCGTGGTAGCTCGCGCTCCAGCAGTGGTGGACGCAGCGGTTGGGGAAGCGGCCGTGATTCGCGTGAGGGCCGATTCGGCCGCGACAGCAGCGCCAGCAAATGGTAAACGTTACCCCACCGCTCTCGTCCCATCACCCGCAATCAGACCTCCAAAAAGAAAGACAGATAGGCCTCACCAGCCATCACCATACAGCTCACCGTGCCGTCTTTGTACTTTTAGCTAGATCCTTTGTCCTGTTGTTTCAACCCTTGTACTAGTAGCCTCCTCAAGATTCGTCCTTGGATTGACGTGCAAAGAAGAACTTTCTCCCTTTGCCTTCGCTCAGCACTGGCCCAGAATCAGATCATCACCATTCATCGCAACTCTCGCCTTCGTCTGCGCAGTGAGCTGACCGTAATGTTGACTTGACAGAGGGATCGGCCGCGTAGGTCTGCTGTATATATACGCAACCTGATCTGGGCCAGTCACGCAGTCTTAGTATAGTGGTTAGTACAGCTCGTTGTGGCTCTCTTGTGTCGCATTGAGTATTCGGTCTCAAAACCGAGCAGACGGATGTTCGATTCCTCCAGACTGCAGTTCTTTTTTCTTTTCCTTGTCTTTCCCGGAAAAAACATGTTTGCTGCATCCTTTTTGGTTCGATTGCCCCTTGCTTGAGAACGTTGAATGTGGCCTTCGTGAGGTGAAGAGGCGAAATGGTTGTACTGTAGATGAGGTTTGGGTAGGACCCCAAAGCACGTCTTCGTTTTGACAATCGTCGTGGGGGCTTCGTTTACTATTTCTTGTTGCTCGAGGACGCGTTAAGGTCGAGGGTGGAGGAGAGCGCGTGTAGAGAACAACACAAACTTGATGCAGATCAGGCTTTTTCTTTGAGCATCACGTCAAGTCTCTCATACCACATTCACCTCGCATCAGCAACAGCAAGGGACTCGCCAGCTCCGACCACACATAAAGATCGGACATCAATCGACTCGAACGACAATCCCATTTGTGCATATTGACTCTTCGCTCGGGCTACAAGCCGTGAGCAGAGTTTACGGCGCCAGCCATTCCAGTTCCCGTCGCATCGCCCCTTGACACCACCAATGACGATGTCCGATACGTCCTTATTCGACATTGACTACCCGTTCCCGGACCTCGACTTCGCTCGCGCACGGGAAGCACTCCGCATTGCGGCTACTGAGCTGTCGGATCGAGGACTGGCTTCTTCGTCGAGATGGACACTCGAACTGCTCCAATCCGTACCCTTCACGGACCTCACAAGCAGTAGACCGTTCTTCTCCGCACAAAGCCATTCCGACGACTCGGCTATCGTCACATCAACACCAGCGACGAAGCGACGTCCCAACGCTAGAACGCTCATCCCTGAACACTCTACGCCAGCATTGGGCATGCATCAGCGCATGTCTGTCGAGCCCGGTGCCGAGGATTCTTCAGTTGGAGAAGTCTCTGGAAGATTCAATCCGAGCACATTCGCATCGTCTCCTCTTGCCAACGCTCGTCTAGGCCACGTAGCGTCTCCCAGAGGCGACCCAGACAGCTCGCTCATCACAGTCGACAGCGAAGACGGAGACGCTCCGGGATCGGCTCACGTTCACTGGCAGTCCAACACCAACTCCGTCGACTGCTCGCCAGGTCCATCGCAGCTTCGATTCGGAGGTGGACTAGCAGGCCCATCATCAGCTCTGGAGGAAGAATCGTATCTACTGGCCAAGAGCCACTTTGACCAGCACCAGCTCGAACGTTGCATCTGGGTCCTCGAGAACGGCAAAAGCACCTCCGACAAAGCACGTTTCTTGCGGCTCTACGCTCGCTTCCTCCTGTCTGAACGCAAGCTCGACGAGCATGGCATGGTCATTCCGAAACCGAACGGGACGCTGCCGGCCACATCACCGAGCTTGATACCCATCCTCAAAGAGCTGATCGATGCTGCCGATCCGTTCCTGCTCTTCTTGAAAGGAGCGATTCTGCGCAAGCTCAATCGACCCATCGAAGCAATGGACTGCTTGATCCGCTCTGTTCAAAGCTTTGCTTATAACTGGGCTGCGTGGCAGGAGCTTGCGATGACGCTCGAGCCAGGCGAGGCGGACCAGATGGCTAATCTGTTGCCAGAGTCGTTCATGGTTAGCTTCTTCCGCGAGTTTCTGGATCGTCACTCGGCGCAAGAGGGCGACTTGACCATCGCACGTATCGACCGACTGCTCGAGTCGTTCCCCCGGTCGGCGTACCTTCTTACCTGCCGAGCACAGACCAACGTCCATCGGCTCGACTACATCGAAGCAGAGCAAGATTTCCAAGAAGCATGGTCGATCGACCCCTACAGAATTGACGGACTGTCCGATTATTCGAATGCGCTCTATCTCCTCAATCGTACCGCGGAGCTAGCACACCTCGCTCACAAGTTCAGCTCCTTTGCCAAAGATCGACCCGAGGTATGCTGCCTCGTAGGCAACTACTACAACCAACGCAGCGACCACCACCGCGCTATCGAAGCCTTCCGTCACGCTCTCCGTCTCGACTCAGGCTGTGTCCCCGCGTGGATCCTCCTCGGACACGAGTATATTGAGCTCAAGAACAGCCATGCTGCGGCCGAGATGTACCGTCGAGCGCTCAAGATCAATCCACGCGAGTACCGTGCCCTGTACGGCTTGGGTCAGGTGTACGAGCTCAACGGAGCATACACGTACGCCGTCAACTACTTTCAAAAGTGCGCTGCGATTCGGCCGTACGATGGCCGCATGTGGTCCAGTATGGGCATATGCTACGACCACCTCGGTAGATCACAGGACGCTATCTCGTGCTTCAAGCGCTACCTCGCTTGCCGACTCAACCAGGGCGACACAGTGATTGGGCTGACGAGGATCATCGAGGTCTACGAGAAGGAGCGTGACTTTGAAGCTGCGGCTTCGTATCACCGTCGTTTGGTGCAGGTGGTGGATCGCGCGCTGGCGGGGACCGAATCAAACGTAGTCGCTCGTTATGCTCGGTCGTACATCATTGCGGCGAGGTGGGAGATGGGCGAGATTGGCGCCAAGGCAACACAGCAGCACCGTACGGAAGCTGGAGGCGCGGCGACCGGCGATGACATGGAGCAGGATGCGGATGAAGGCTCGCAAGCCAAGGTCGGCAATCTCGCTTTGGCTAACGACTATCTGCAGAAGGTGATTGCTGCAGGCACCGAAATGACCGACAGCGCCGAGATTCTGCTCAAGCGACTCGCTTTCTTGCGTGACTAAGCGCCGGTTCACGTATTTGTTCACTCCAAGCCGAAGAAATTGGCAAGCTCATGAATCACGACCACTGAACTTATTGTCCATGTGGCAGAACAATGATGAAAGATTCTGTCGGCTAAGGGTAGCTCGTCGATATGCGGTGCGAGAGCTGAAGAACGGTGATTTCGTCAACGTGGCTTGCAAGCGCATGGTCGGGGACCATTAGCTGAGATCAGCCTGAAGCGCATGGTGGGTTCGGGAGGCGAATTGCAAAATGCCCGTTCACGTCATCTTTATTGTAACGGCGAATTTCACCCACATGTTGTGTCACTCTCCAGGAAAGGTGGAGGGAAGACGCTTTTTGCATTGCCGAGCTCAACCCATATAACCAACACAGCTCTGGTTCTATGTACCCATCTTCATTGATTCATCTCATCTGCCAGTCCACCCACGAACTTACAGCCATAGCCAAAATGTCTTCTCAGCGAAACTATCTCGTGTGGGGCGCCAACGGTGTCTCCGGTATCGCAGCCTTGCGCGCGCTTGTCGAACAGCCTTCGGAAGCCGTGGGTTCCATCCTGGCTGTCTCGCGCCGTCCTCCTCAGGTCGACTTGAAGGACAAGCGCATCAAGTTTGTCTCGATCGACATCCTCAACGCATCTGTTGAAGAGATCGCAGAAAAGCTCAAGGCCAACGGAGGTGAAAAAGTCAATGCCGCCCTGCACTACACCTACATCGAGAAGAAAGACGCCCAGGAGCTTCTCGATGTCAACCACATCCTGCTCAGCAAGGCACTCGAATCTACCTGTGCTGCAGCAGGAAAGGAGCTGAAGCACTTCCACCTTCAGACTGGCTACAAATGGTATTCTCTCCACTTGGCCAACAAGGACATTGCCTCTCCCGTCCCCTACAAGGAGGACGCTCCACGTGGGCCAACTGACCCGCCCAACTTCTACTACGACCAGGTGGACACTCTTGTCGCTCACGCCAAAAAGCATGGCTATGCATGGTCCGAAACTCGACCCAACACCATCATTGGTGCTGCCAAGGGCAACTTTATGAACCAAGCCGTTTCCACCAGTCTCTACCTCACCCTCGAGAAAGCGAAAGGCAACACAGAGGTTCAGTTCCCCGGAAACAACCTCAACTGGGACCAAATCTTTGTTTCTCAGAGTACCGCCATCAACAATGCCCGCTTCCAGGTCTTCCTCACCGATCCTTCCAACGCGGCGAAATGCGAGAACCAGTCGTTCAACATTGAAGATGGTGACAAGCGCACCTTGGGTCAAATCTGGCAGGATCTGGGCAAGGAGTTGGGACTCAAGGTTCTGCCCCCAACCGAAGCAGGAAAGACAGAGTACAACGCAAAGCCACCAAAGCTCAGCTTGAGCCTCGACGAGTGGAGCAAACGCGAGGAAAACGTCAAGGCTTGGGAGAAGTTGACCAAGGAGAAGGGTGGCGATCCAAAGGCGTTTGCCGATCACGCTACTTTTGCGTTTGCTGACTTCACTCTGGGTGCGACGTTCGACCAGCAGGGTAGTCTGGATAAGGCCAGGGATGCTGGTTGGACAGTTGTGTGTGACACCGTCAAGGATGGATACCTCGAGACCTACCGTTACCTGCAGGAGATTGGAACACTTCCCAAGCTCTAATTGGTCGCTCTTTGTTACTCGTATTCGAAGTAGTTCAAAGCAAAATGCAAAGTTCCGTTGTCTACCTCAGCATTGTGCCATACTTTGTGTCATCTTGAGCAGCTCTTTGTTTGCCGCCGGCTCGAACGAGATGTCAGGATGAGCGAAGAAGCGATGTGGCGAAGATCGGGATAATCGGCGAGCGAGCTCCGAAATGATTTCCCTTTTGAGCGCGATGCCGTGTCGGCAAGTGTTGGTGTGTTTGTTTTTTTTGTCGGAATTGGCCTCCGACTGTGCGTTATCATCGTGCAGCTGCACACGCAGACCCTGACCTCCTTCTACCCCTCTTCGACCAACGATCCCTACTTCCTTTCACACCATTCGCCCCTCCACCAACTTCTGGATCGTCAACATGTCAGCTCCAGACTACCGCTACCTGCAAGCGTGGGCACGACCCTCTACTTCAAGACCTTCACCTAGCTCGACATCCCGCCGTGCTTACGAGAACAGCACCTCGTACGAGGCCATCCTGCCAACCACCGACGGTGACACTGCAACACCAGCAACTCAGCCCACAGACAAGAATGCACCAGAGCAATCGGCATACCAGATCAGACTTGATACGCCAGGTGGCATCTCGTATGCGCCCGATGCGCTGGCGCAGCACAATTCGACCAAGAGGCTCTTCATCCCAGCAACTATGTACGATCGCGATGTCAAGGAGTATGATTTTGC